CCCCCCCCCCCCCCCCCCGCCTAGCTTGGATTAGAAATAGATGGCTACACCCAAGTAGGTGGCCGCCTAGAGCAGAGTTCCATCTTGACGCTAAGTAAACACTCATCACATCGACTGGTCATACTTGACACATTTTTGGTGGACGGTTATCTTGCTTGTTGTTTTATAGCTCCCTAAGCACTCATCAATGTCAAATTGTAAGCATGCCGTTGTCGGGATCCCATAATGATGTAGTCGTCCTTCCAAGTCTAGAACTGCAGTAACCATAAGTTGACGGTTTATGTTGTAGACATGCCGTTGTCGGGTTCACGCAATGACGTAGTTGTCCTTTCAAGTCCAAAACTGCAGCAACCATAAGTTGACGGTGTATGTTGAAAACATGCCGTTGTCGGGTTCACGTAATGATTAAGTTATCCTTCCAAGTCTAGAACTGCAGTAACCATAAGTTGACGGTTCATGTTACAAACTCTCGTCTCTTTTGACCATATAGTGACTGCACTCGTACACCAAAGAGTAGGAAACCCTAGGCTCTAGATCTAGACTTTTGATTTAGTCCCATATAACATAACACGTGCATATAACCTTTATTTAGTCCAATATAATGTTGCACGCGTAGTGGATCTTGACTTAGTCCAGTGGTCGGCAAACTCATAAGTCAAGAAACATGTTTTTCAGGGTCAAAACCGACTTGTGTCCGACTGGCCGAGCCGCACTCAGGAGGTCGTTCAAGAGACGCATGCGGGTTGCGAGCTATGATTTGCCGACCACTGATTTAGTCCAACATAACGTGATACGTGTATAGGAACTTTATTTAGTTCAAAATAACGTGGCACGTGTATAGGAACTGTATTTAGTCCAATTTAACGTGACACGTGTATAGGAACTGTATTTAGTCCAATATAACGTGGCACGTGTATAGGAACTGTATTTAGTCCAATATAACGTGGCACGTGTATAGGAACTTTATTTAGTCCAATATAACGTGGCACGTGTATAGGAACTTTATTTAGTCCAATATAGCGTGGCATGTGTATTAGAGTTTGACTGAGTTCACTTTAACGTGGCACATTTATTCGAACTTGACTTACAGTCTATTAAGATAGGCGAATGCCCGAATGCAATTATGATACGTCTGCCTCAAGTGCTCAACAAACTAGTGGTTGTCTAAGTGCACAAGTTGTGCGGCATGCGACTCTTCCAATGAACGAATGTTTCTCTTTTCGTAATTTTCATTTTTATTTGTATTTAAACAAAGAGTGAATAAATAATTTCAGGTGCACCCCTTTGTGGGGACGAACGACCCTTACACAGGGGTCGCCTAAGACCATTGGAAAACACATATTTATGAAGTAGCAATGAAAATAATTTTATGTTGGGGGGGGGGGTCACCACAATACGAGGAACTGTTTGAAAGGGTTTCAGCATTAGGAAGGTTGAGAACCACTGCTTTAGTGTGACAGTAATTGACTTTTTTCCCCCACATTAATGTTGTTTTTTTTTTGTTTTTTTTTAAAAATTGTATTAGCTGTGCTTGAACTTTTAAAAATTTCCCACACTGTTGTGATATTAATCCGCAGTTGGCCTACTTTAAAGACTTGTAGTCATGTGACTGAGAGTAAAGGCTAAAACTTGGCTTGATTTTCGCGCCCATGTTCGTCACACCCCTTCACGTCACGTGCACATGTGTTGCCAGAAATGTGCCAAGATCTGACGATCATCCGGCGTCTGGCGGCAAGCAGAGTGAGTGTCGAGCTAAGCAGCAGCAGCAGCAGCAGAGAATGGGATTACTCATGGGCATAACCCAGTGGGTTGGGGGGGGGATAAGGCGGGAAAACAAAACGATGCGCCATGGGGGCCGAGTGGGGCACAACTTGACAAAGGGGTTGACGTCCTTGTCTTTGTATGTGTGATGTAAGAGGAAGCAGACGATGTTGTCTTTGTGGTATGTCTGATGTAAGAGGAAGCAGACGATGTTGTCTTTGTGGTATGTCTGATGTAAGAGGATGCAGACGATGTTGTCTTTGTGGATATGTCTGATGTAAGAGGAAGCAGACGATGTTGTCTTTGTGGTATGTCTGATGTAAGAGGAACCAGACGATGTTGTCTTTGTGGATATGTCTGATGTAAGAGGAAGCACGTGATCGTGTTGTGGCCCCTGCTTTTTCAAGAAAAACGTCACTAAAATGAAGACCGATATTAAAAAGAAATGCTGAGTGCGTAAGGAATACATCTGCTTGGTTACGCTGAGTGTCAAGTCAATCCTACTTAACGGAGCCACCACAATCATGGGTACTATCAGTGATCGAGGAATAAACAGGAATTAGCATACAATAAAATAGACCTTCATTAATGTTCAAAAATGCCCCGATAATTGAAATATTTTCTAATCCATGTTTAAATAATCTTGATTTTTAGGTGTAAAATAAACTCTTTCAGTTTAATGTATGAGTGCAGCACCAATAAACCCCATGTACCGTAATCACAATACGTAGAGGTGTAAAAGCGTGCAGGTGGGAGAAGAACGCAGGGTTTGGCAAAGCTTTACATGAAGCTCTCTTGTAGTTGTATGGAGGGACGTCATTTGGGTAGGGCAAGGGGGGGGCATTTGTCCCTCCTTCCCCCCCCCCCCCATGACTTTGCAAGTTTTATTTAAATTGATATGCACTGTGGCGTCTCCGGTAATAAACACCTTAACAAGCCGACCACGTTTTGATTTTGCCCCCCCCCCCCCTTTTGTAAAAAAACCTGAAACGACGCCCATGGTCGGATGTAAGGTTAAGTTTCGCTGTTAGTCTCACCCCACTACAAATATTTTGCAAGCTTAATTGCAGTTCACTAAATTGCAAGGTTTATTTAAATTGATATGCACTGTGGCGTCTCCGGTAATAAACACCTTAACAAGCCCACCCCGTTTTGATTTTGCCCCCCCCCCCCTTTTGTAAAAAAACCTGAAACGACGCCCATGGTCGGATGTAAGGTTAAGTTTCGCTGTTAGTCTCACCCCACTACAAATATTTTGCAAGCTTAATTGCAGTTCACTAACATGGTTGTAAACACTGTTATGGTTGTCAGCATGGCTATGGTTGTTAGCACCACTATGTTTATTAGCACCGCTATTGCTGTTAGCACCCCAATAATTGTATGCACGCCATAAAGACCCTTCTCCTTTGTGGCTACTAGCTGCATCTGGACTTTCGCCTGCGGAAGAAAAGAGGTTGAAGAATATTTCACACGTCTCCAAAGGTGGCAGTCTGTTCACAAAGGGGTGAACATCAACCAATAGTCCTTGAATGACGTCATCCCGTAGACTTAAACGATGTCCAGTCCGTATCCCAGAAGCGTGGCTATTTATAACCGTTTAGTTAAAAATAGAATGAGACCTTAATTTAGCAGTCGACTAACGGCCATATTGCTCCACCCTTCCTGACGGTAGAAGTATAAAAGGCACTGGGTAGTGAGAAAATAAAAGGTTTAGTTAGACTAGTTCCCCCTGTGCCACTCACGTTCAAGGTAACCCCTAGCCCAGTAAGACACGTGATAACACTCACAGACGTGTAGGCAGAGCTCGATGTGTGCGTCACAGCCCACATCCTACACTCAAGGTAAATTGGTGAGCTAACTTTTCTGTGGCTTACCAGCTGTTGTTTTATGAACATACAAACTACAAGGGTTCGAATCTCGACAAACGCTTCACGTAAATTAAAGCATTTTGTGTAGACGTTCGCCGGTGATTGCTAATGGTAGATGTTACCGTGCGATGTTGACTTCATCATCAACAGGGTGTTTGTTGAAGCAACCACGACACGACCTGGCGGGCTTGTTGTTGCCGCACATGTCGACTGGGCTAGTTAGTGGGAGGGTAACTCTAGTCGACCTGCGTGAAATACCGGACAGCTGTTACCTACGGTAGAATCGAACGCCGATATCGCCGCTGATAATAGGAGATCTCAGCCTCTCAGTGTTCGTGTGGTTGTTGTGGTCCCAGGACCGTTGCCAGTTCGCTGACACCACCATTCGGGCATGTGACCTATTTATAGAAGAGTGCGATTTTGGATTGTGTATTCATAATTAAGTTTGATCTCATGGTAAGTCTATTCCATGTACAAGGAGATAGTATCTTTTTGCGATTTTGGATTGTGTATTCATAATTAAGTTTGATGGCATGGTAAGTCTAAAGCCATGTTCAGTGAGTTAGTGAGTACATGTTTCTATCACTTGACTTGTAAACACTAAAAGTGGACTGAAAAAAAAAAAACGCAAAAAAAACAACACGAATTTGACTTGTTCAGATTTAGATTGATTTGTAAAAACATGTAATTTTAAATTGTTAGCTGTTAAACTTGTGACAGTGACAGCTGAATGAATTCAAGTCAACATCGATGTGCATATTCAGTTTAGCACAGGTCTGATTATGACTTTAAAAAAAAAAAAAAAATTGGATGCACGTCAGAGAAATGGCCGTCTTAACTATAACTTTATAAAGTAAGTGATGATGATAGAGTTGGGTAACACCGTCCGTGGGATTCAGATGAACGGCTTTCTCTCGAACGTTCCACAACAACTTGTGACGTGATTTTTTAACGTTTCAAATGTACACCAAAGTGTCACGAAGGTTGTTAATGTTGACGGTGGATGTTGTCATTTTTTTTCAATTTGGAGGTTGGGGGGGGGGGGCACATCCACCCCCCGTCGATGATGTCACCGAACATTTTATTTACAAGGGGGGCCAGACCAAAAAGTGAGAACATCTCTAATCAAAGGATTATATCATTTAGTTAATATAATGGTTTGTCAGTGACAGTTGCCTGAAAACTATTACACTATTCAGAAAAAATGTTCCATCTGTCCCCCCACACCCCCCCCCCCATCCAAACCGCTCTCCCTACTCTTCTCAATGACTTATTGTAAGCGTTGGCGCCTCGTTTATGCTTCTGACAACAAAGCGATGTTATCCCATTTTTTGGGGCCACCCTGTATTTATGTAAGTCACTGACTTGAAACGTTTAAAGATTCAGTTATTAATATTAAGGATCATGTTTTAATTTAAACCTCTCAAATAAATAAACCCCCCACATTGTCCGTGTGAGCGCTGAACCCGTTCTCGCGATGACAACACATGACCAGAGACCGTGGAATGGATCTGGTCACACTCAGGTGTTGCTAATGCCGATACGTTGATCAGCTCACACCTGCTGGTAACACATGGGGGTATGGTCCACCGCGACCATCGACGTTCCGCGTTGACGTCACGTTCGTGTTGATGTAAGCGCACGGACGACTAACGTGAATGGAATGTAAGGAGATACGGAGTGTAGGCGTTTTAATGTGTGGAAGTAATCTCGATCGTTCCTTGATTCGCGGTGCAATGACCTGTCGTGGTAATCAAGGGGGGGGGGGGCATTTCTTTGATTCACTGTGTACTTTACCTGTGGTGGTATTCAGGGGGGCATTTCTTTGATTCACTGTGTACTTTACCTGGCGTGGTAATCAGGGGGGCACTTCTTTGATTCACTATGTACTTTACCTGTCGTGGTAATTAGGGGGGCATTTCTTTGATTCACTATGTACTTTACCTGTCGTGGTAATCAGGGGGCATTTCTTTGATTCACTGTGTACTTTACCTGTCGTGGTAATCAGGGGGCATTTCTTTGATTCACTGTGTACTTTACCTGTCGTGGTAATCAGGGGGGCATGTCTTTGATTCACTGTGTACTTTACTTGTCGTGGTAATCAGGGGGCATTTCTTTGATTCACTGTGTACTTTACCTGTCGTGGTAATCAGGGGGGCATGTCTTTGATTCACTATGTACTTTACCTGTCGTGGTAATCAGGGGCATTTCTTTGATTCACTGTGTACTTTACCTGTCGTGTTAATCAGAGGCATTTCTTTGATTCACTGTGTACTTTACCTGTCGTGGTAATCAGAGGCATTTCTTTGATTCACTGTGTACTTTACCTGTCGTGGTAATCAGGGGGGCATTTCTTTGATTCACTGTGTACTTTACCTGTCGTGGTAATCAGGGGCATTTCTTTGATTCACTGTATACTTTACCTGTCGTGGTACTCAGGGGCATTTCTTTGATTCACTGTATACTTTACCTGTCGTGGTACTCAGGGGCATTTCTTTGATTCACTGTATACTTTACCTGTCGTGGTACTCAGGGGCATTTCTTTGATTCACTGTGTACTTTACCTGTCGTGGTACTCAGGGGCATTTCTTTGATTCACTGTGTACTTTACCTGTCGTAGTAATCAGGGACATTTCTTTGATTCACTGTGTACTTTACCTGTCGTTGTAATCGGGACACTTCGCATGCAAATCGTCGGATTTCCGATTACTCGACCCTCACAACTTCGAATGATGCTGTTTTATCAATTAAAAAAACCTCAATTACCGATTTATTAGCACCGATAAAGCCGATTACCTGTTATCTGCCGATTACTCGGCGCTACTCTTGTTGAGAATTTGAACTTTTTTTTTTTTTAACTGGGTAAGAATATCTAAAAGTAATCTCCTTAAAATTAAATAAATGGCTACCAGCCTATCTGGCGCCATGGGGTAAGCTCCTGTGTTCTTGGTACTAGTATTAGGATTAATAATCTAACACCGCTTAGTGAATACGATTATACCGAAGAGCATCCGCAGTTCTGCGGTGCAGAGATTGACGATGGCTCCCCCCCCCCCGCTCCAACCCCCCACCCCTCCATCCGGGGCCTTTGATTAAACAGGAGATAAAACGCATGTCATGCCAAGGGGTGGGGCCAATGTAATGTTAAACCGAGCGACACATTTAATGAACGCATTGTTTGGCCTCTGGGCAGACCGAACTTAAGAGTGCGCCCCCGTGATCTCGCCCTGTCGTCGGGTCGCTCCCCTCCCAGGTCGAAAGGTGGTTGATGCGTGCACAATCGGGTTGTCGTTGTGTTAAGGTCGGTTGGCGCTGTACAGTCGGGTTGTACCAGTGCCTATGACTTATGATAGTTGATAGCGGCAAATAATAATGTCTAAACACAACTTTAATTTAAGAAACTCATTAAGAAAATGTAGCCGCGCCCTTATTTCGCACACAACATAGAACGAGGCAGTGGAGTAGGTAGAGTTTGTGACGCCTGGGGCAGCCCTTGATTGTGCCGCCCCCATCAACGAACACATCAATGCATACATAACAAACATACAAAATAGGCTGTAGATATAGTGTAAATTAAATTAACCGAAAATGGAGCCCTAATATAAAGTGACGCCCGGGGCACACACCCCCCCCCCAGCCTCGTCTTCCTACTTCTGTGAAACCCGATGTTATAATTTGTCAGTGGTTAGGAAAGGGGGGGGGGAGCGGAGAGGCGGCACACCGAAGCGTCACTTTTTATCTCTACATAGAGGGGCAGCATGAATCAACTGACGGGGCAGCTGCTGATTTTTTTTTTTTTTCGTGGAATGGGTCGGCAAAAATCAAGACCCAACCCAGACGGCACTATCCCTAGATACGCCACTGATTGGTTTCAACAAACATGAACATTTATTTTCCAATGTCTCACACCAATAGGGTTTAGAAGTCCTGAAGACAAAGAAGTGAAGCCTAAATTGGAACTCTTATGAAAGTGCCTCCCGCCACTGAGACGATGATCGATGGGTTCCTTAGATCTTAGACATCATGTGACATCAAAGGGAGGGCAATGTTCTGTGACTACGCCAATGTCACACCGGCACTCTTGCGGTGGTTACATTAGACCTTATTTTTAACTTCTTCTTATCTTCTTATATTTGAGGTGCCCACGATCAATTTGTTGATCATTCTGGCTCCTGGTTTAAATTCAGAGTTTGCCTTCTCTTAGATGGGTTGCCGTCCAAGGCTAGCGAGTCCCATCCACCCGGATTCTAACATTGCTAGAAATAAACTCGGGGCGCATCGTGCCGTGCTGATGTCATCTCTCCCGATTAAAGTCTTTTCACCGGTACCTGATTTTTCGCTCCATCTGAAGACGGTTACAGAATTATGAAAAAAAAAAAAAAAAAAATATATATATATATATATATATATATATATATATATATATATATATCTCGAATAATAATCAGTAAATGAAAAAAAAAATTGTGTGCTCCCCTGAGGCAGTCACCCTTTCGCCCCCATACACTTTTGTTTTTTCACGGCCCTGACCAGAAGGGTCAAAGATGAAAGGGGGAAGAATTTCCAAGTTGAAAATAATACATGTCTGTATATATTTATTTTATAAAAATCTAGCTCCTCGGCAAAGACAGATGGAAAGGAAAGTCTTTGCAGGATATTTATAGCATTTTTTTCGTCCATTTTGTTTTTCGTGTCATTGCAGTTGGACACAAAGTCAAGGTACCGCACAGTTCACCAACTCCTCGATTAAAAAGTCTAATTCTGTAGCCATCATTTAACGAACAGTGCTATAAGTCACATCCCCAGTAACGACCACGGTGCGTGTGTTCACCAGAGCGAGATGTTGAGAGAAGGAACACAATCTCTCTGCTGTGTATGCGATTTAATCTGATGTTTATTTATGGACACCGTGAATGCCGTATTTTGAGAATATCAAATAACTTCATACCACAAATACCTTGTTATCATCGTAAACATGCCCTTAACGCGCTGTCACGTGGTGCACTACGTCGCCATTGACATACCTGAGATGTTTCATAGGACTAGATCCTGTGCTAACAATCGTAGGGTCTGTGAATGTAGGGGTTAATGAATGGGGCTACCTAGTAGGGTTAGTGAATGTAGGGGTTAATGAATTGGGCCAACTAATAGGGTCTGTGAATGTAGGGGTTAATGAATGGGGTAAACTAGTAGGGTATGTGAATGCAGGGGTTAATGAATGGGGCTGAGGGCTAACTGATGGGGGTCTGTGAATGTAGGGGTTAATGAATGGGGTAAACTAATAGGGTATGTGAATGCAGGGGTTAATGAATGGGGCTACGGGCTAACTGATGGGGGTCTGTGAATGTAGGGGTTAATGAATGGGGTAAACTAATAGGGTATGTGAATACAGGGGTTAATGAATGGGGCTACGGGCTAACTGATGTGGGTCTGTGAATGTAGGGGTTAATGAATCGGGCTACGGGCTAACTGATGGGGGTCTGTGAATGTAGGGGTTAATGAATGGGGCTACGGGCTAACTGATGGGGGTCTGTGAATGCAGGGGTTAATGAATGGGGCTACGGGCTAACTGATGGGGGTCTGTGAATGCAGGGGTTAATGAATGGGGCTACGGGCTAACTGATGGGGGTCTTACTTTTCTAAATTACAGCACCACAACCCCCTCCCACCCAAATATTTTTTTTGGGTCTTATTGTGATAAAGAGATTAATTGTGATAAAGAGATTAATTGTGATAAAGAGATTAATTGTGATAAAGAGATTAATTGTGATAAAGAGATTAATTGTGATAAAGAGATTGTGATAAAGAGATTAATTGTAATTAATTGTGATAAAGAGATTAATTGTGATAAAGAGATTAATTGTGATAAAGAGATTAATTGTGATAAAGAGATTAATTGTGATAAAGAGATTAATTGTGATAAAGAGATTAATTGTGATAAAGAGATTGTGATAAAGAGATTAATTGTGATAAAGAGATTAACTGTGATAAAGAGATTAATTGTGATAAAGAGATTAACTGTGATAAAGAGATTAATTGTGATAAAGAGATTAATTGTGATAAAGAGATTAATTGTGATAAAGAGATTAATTGTGATAAAGAGATTAATTGTGATAAAGAGATTAATTGTGATAAAGAGATTAATTGTGATAAAGAGAGCTAACGTTTAGTTTTCTAAGCCACCCAACGTCACAATTTAAATGGATTTAAAAAAAAAAAATATATATTTTAATCTCCGGAAAAAGAATATCTGTTTCATGTACAAATAAAGTGCCCAGGTTAAAATAAAGTCAGTTATAAATATTTATGTGAACAGATTTTTCCACGAACACAACGAAATCCGGACAGGAGAAAGTACATGCTGTCATCTCTTGTGTTAAGATATTATAGTATCATATAAGAATGATCCAATGTAGAAGATGTGTTACGCCCTGATTATCAAACACAATAAGAGTGATTTTATATTATTTCGGGAATCAATGTAATTGTGTCAAAAAAGATCTGCTTTTACTTTTATCCGCCAGTGTGTTGACCCAGTTTTACTTCAACTTTCTAATTTGTTCTAAATCAGGCCTGCACAACCTACGGCCCGCGGGCCGCACGTGGCCCGCCAGCACCCACTTGGCGGCCCGCGAAGTAACGAAATATTCTTTATTATTGTTATTTTCTTAATAGATTTCCTCCCTGCCCCAACATCTTTCGGTCCGCATAAGCTTTTCATAAAGTATTATGGCCCGCCTTACATTTTGAGTTGTGCAGGCCACTTCTAAATAATGCCATCGGGTGATGCAATTTCTAGAAAATCGTGAAAATTGGTTAAGAGACTTTTGTTTGAGATAAAAGAGATCTGTGTTTTAAGATTTTCTTTCTGATCATACAGCTCAGGGGCGAAGAACAAAAAAGCGGATTAAAAAAAAAATCCATTTATGTTGAAGATTTCTTTTATTGATTTCATTGATGTTTAATCAATTTAAGGCTTGTTATACGTTTTTTTTTTTTTTTTTTTTTTTTATGTGTTTTAAGATTTTCTTTCTGATCATACAGCTCAGGGGCGAAGAACAAAAAAGCGGATTAAAAAAAAAATCCATTTATGTTGAAGATTTCTTTTATTGATTTCATTGATGTTGAATCAATTTAAGGCTTGTTATACGTTTTTTTTTTTTTTTTTTTTTTTTTTTGTTTTTTTTTATATTTTTTTTTTTTTTTTTTTTTTTTTTTTTTTTTTGTGTGTGTGTCGAAATATATGTTTTATTTGTTGTTCGGAGGCGTTTAAAGGAGCTGGGTAGGGCTATATTAAATAGAAGATAAAAATGTATCAACACATAATGATGTAAGAAACGTAAACATCTAGACCTATACATAGATACTTCTTTAAAGATCAGGAAAACGCTGGTTTACTATTTCAGGGGCTTCGGAAAATGTGGTCATTGTTATTAGGCTCTCAACCTTATTCAGTTACATGCATTGAGATATGTTTTGTTAAGATGCTGAGGCTTGGCAATAGCAAGCAGGTTATAGCGCAATATGCCTTCCATTATTGACCCGGTAACATCGGGTCATATCTTCTAGTTAATGAAATAATTGAACGTGTCGCCCCCCCCCCTCCTCATTATATACAGTGATGTCATATTCAAAGAGTAGAGTGTGTCCAGAGGCGAGTTTCTGGGTGGGGTGGGGGTGGAAGGACTTTACCAGGATCCATGAGTCATGCATGTATCTTATTTAAATATCTGTAGAAGAGCGTTAGTGACTGCGTAGTCAGGTCTGCCGTGATGGAGTCATCATTAGTCACACGGGTTGTTGACATAACCCGACGACGGTCCAACCGCATGCTGACATAACCTTAATCGTTCATGATACGATAAACGTAACGTGCGTAACTATAAATAGTCGTGGCGTGGTGGGGCCGCCTGCTTGCGGCACTGACGATTAGATTTCTGTACCACGGACGGCATGGATGCATCCTGTGATATTTATTGACCAGCTGTGAGCGATTTCCTTTTTTTTTGTTGATGGGTCAGATTTATTGTGTCGGATCTGTTAACGACATCGCGCGTTGACCACTGCAAATATGTCATTGTTTTGATATAAATAGTGTAACAATGTGTGTCGATTAGGGTTAAAAAGTGCTTGAGGAGGGGGTGGGGGTGGGAACCCATTCCTTCGCCCCGCCTCTACGGTTCTCTCCGCCTCACCGATTCTCAAACATTTTCCTTCATCATCATCGTCATCAACATTATTGTGACTAATTTTATTTCTTTCATAGACGTCATTGAGGACGCTGAACTCCCAAAACGAAAGCAATTATTGATTTGATCAAGTTACCTCGTTTTTGTATCGTATCAACCGGGTGTATTTTAAACGTGTTTGTCGATATCGTGTGGATGCGAGGATAAGATTCAACATCAATTCAACTAACTTCATTGTTTTCTGGATGTTTTACGTCTAGGAAACGCATTTTATTTTAAAAATAAACGGTTTTTCCCCCCGTATAAATCCTTTATTAAATGTCATATCGAGCAATGGGTTGTGGCTGTGAACATTTGACAAAACATCCATTCAAGTAATGCACTTTATAAGAATCCCAACTTGTACCACCAACCCACCAACCCACACACACTTGTTGTTTCTTTTTACCAACGTTCGCATCCGCACATTTTTCCCTAAACTATGTTAATGACCCACCCGCAGATTTATTTCACCATTTCGCAAAAAAATATTACTCACCAAACGCACTTGCGATATATATATTTTTTTTTAAAAAATCCCATTTAGCGCAGTTATCGGGATTTTTATTTCATGAAATCAGCGTCATAATATTTCCTTCATCTTCCCCTTGGAAAAACATGAAAAACTGATTTGTGTGTGTGGGGGCGGGGGTGGGGGTTAGGGGCTGAAACTTGATAGAATGTGTTGCCATCGCGCTACGAGTCTAGGAGCTAAATTTCCGCCCAATAGCTTGACGGGAAGTGGGTCATTTAGCCGTCTGAAGGTTTTGCCAGCAGCCAGCCACGCGCAAAATCGAAGTTTATGTCTAGGATTTAGAAATTATGTTAAAAAAATCGTAACACGGCAGTTGTGTTTATGATAGGGTTGTCCACTCCGGTTATAGGGTTGTCCACTCCGGTTATAGGGTTGTCCACTCCGGTTATAGGGTTGTCCACTCCGGTTATAGGGTTGTCCACTCCGGTTATAGGGTTGTCCACTCCGGTTATAGGGTTGTCCACTCCGGTTATAGGGTTGTCCACTCCGGTTATAGGGTTGTCCACTCCGGTTATAGGGTTGTCCACTCCGGTTATAGGGTTGTCCACTCCGGTTATAGGGTTGTTCACTCCGGTTATTAAGTCTTCTTATGATAGGGTTGTCCACTCTGGCTAGTAAGTCTTCTTAGGATAGGGTTGTCCACTCCGGTTATAAGGTTATCCACTCCGGTTATAGTGTTGCCCACACCGGTTACAGGGTTGTCCACTCCGGTTATAGGGTTGTCCACTCCGGTTATAGGGTTGTCCACTCCGGTTATAGGGTTGTCCACTCCGGTTATAGGGTTGTCCACTCCGGTTATAGGGTTGTCCATTCCAATTATATTAGGGCTGTCCACTTTGATTATTTAGTCTTCTTAGGATAGGGTTGTCCACTCTGGCTATTAAGTCTTCTTAGGATAGGGTTGTCCACTCTGGCTATTAAGTCTTCTTAGGATAGGGTTGTCCAATTTCTAAACAGAAATTCATCCGCGGACATTGATCCCAAGGCTTACAGACAGCGGAGTAATAAAAGGGTGCGGAGGGGGCGACCCCTGTGGGAGGGGGCGATCCACCCCTGTGGTGCTTTTTTCTTTTTATGACGGGGCGGCATTTTCGGACAACTGCAGAGGGTTTTTTTTTTTTTTAATCGTGGAAGGGGTCGGCGCGATAATCCATGTCCTACCCCGCGCGGCACCAAACCCTTATAGCTACGCCACTGTCTACCGATAAAGCGTACATAGCTTTTGAAGCTGTTTGTTAAGACTAAATAAAAAAATGTTAAAACTAATTCGTTTGGGGATTGGAATGGAAGCACGCGGTGGGATCTCCGAGCATCAACATACCTATCTACGTCATCTGCCGCGGCAAATATTGACAGAAGTGAAGGCCGAGTTGATTTTACTTGTTAAATAGCTCTCCGACCAGGAAAAACGCTGGTGGTGGAGGGGGGTATTTTTAGACACCAGTTTGTATTAAGCAGGGAGTTGGTAACACCAGGAGCTCTACTCCTTCTATTCCCCGCCCCCCCCCCACACAGCCTATAGGCCAGCTGTTTTAGATGTGTCCTACTTTAGCCTACATTAAACTCTGTATACATAATTTTTTGTATATTACTTTAATTAAGCAGGGAGTTGGTAACACCCGGAGCTTTACTCCTTCTATTCCCCGCCCCCCCCCCCCACAGCCTATAGGCCAGCTGTTTTAGATGTGTCCTACTTTAGCCTACATTAAACTCTGTATACATAATTTTTTGTATATTACTTTATTACAGCCAAAGTTGATCCTGACGTCACGAGATTTCAGAGTTCCTAAAGACGACAGTTCCGAATAACATTTAGAAGCGTCTTCAAATATAACGCAAACAAGAGAAGTTCAAGGTCTCCCGACAATGAGTTCCAAGAAGCCGAGCAATCACGTGATCCTCTACGTCAGAGCTGGATGGGACGGCACCGGTTACGGGGCTTGTCCGTTCTGTCAGCGGTTCTACATGGTTCTGGACCTCAAGGCCAAGGGCGGGGCATTGACCTATGACATTATTTCGGTGAACACGGCCAGACCGCCTCCAGAGTTTAGGAAGTTTGCCAACCGTCTGCCTGTGTTAAAACACGAGGATGAGGTGAGTTACCTTCCCTTGTGTATCCTTTGAGCTCACATGTTAGGGGCGTTACCGTCCCCTGTGTATCCTTACAGCTCACATGTTAGGGCCATGTTGCAATTCAAATATTTTTTTTCGTTGCATTAAATACCAATCACAATTATCAAGGATATGTTTACATTCTTGGGATCTCTTAGGCGTGGGTAAATTTGCCCATAGTTCATTATTGAAGCATATAATAATGAATGAAAGGAGTTAACTACCACTAAGATGGATACACCTCAATTTGTAAACTAAATATTATGCCGATCTGAATTTTATTTTCTCATCAAGAGTTAAATTTGAAACATTGAATAAATAACCTGTTATCTTTGTGAATTCAGGTGATAATGGACACGGAAGAGATTCAGCAATACTTGGACGCCAACTTCCCCAAGCCAGACCTCCGCTACACCAACAGGGACGCGCACACGGCGTGCCTGGACGTCTTCTCCAAGTTCTCCTTCTTCATCAAAAACGTCTCCCACACGTCCGACCACCTCCTGAAGGAGCTCTCCTACCTGGACAGCTTCATGGACAGGACGGGCAACAAGTTCATGTGTGGCGACGAGCTGACCAATCTGGACTGCAACGTTCTGCCCAAGCTCCAACACATCCGGGTGGCCTCCAAGGCTTTCAAAGACTTTGAGATTCCCCGCTCCATGACCTACCTGTGGGGCTACCTGGCCAGCGCTTACAAGAACGACACCTTCAAGAAGACGTGCCCGTCCGACCAGGAGATCGTCCACCACTGGAGTGAGAAGAAGGAGACGACGCCGCTGCCGGAGAGCAAGCAAAAACTCTACATGGTGGAGGCCACGCCCAGGTTCAGCATGGACGTCCCGGCCTACGTCAACGGTCACCACTGAACCGCGCCCCCCCCCCCCCCCCCCC